CCTTAAACATTAATACATTCCCTATTATACTGTCTACTGGTGTCTATTAAATTTTCAGCGAGTAGACAGGAGATTTCCCTTTGCCCTTGCAATTGCTTTGCAGGAGATCCTACATCTTAACAAAGTTAAGTCTTCTGATCAATAAAAACTTGATATATCTCCCCATTTATTTATCTCCTCTTTAATTATTTTCATCAAGGCATTATAGTTTGTAGTATACAAATCTATAATATATTTTGCTAACTCAGTTCCTAAATGCTTCTTATTTAAGGATGCCATTATACACGTAAATTGTTATTTCAATTCCCAACTATTTATGGCTTGCATATACAAATAAATTTTTACATAATGTTCTTATAAGATTCACTTACTCTAATAACTTTTTCTTGATTCTTTGGGTTTTTCTATATACATATTCACATTATACTAAATATAATATAGGCAGTTCTAATTTCTTCCCTCTTGACCTAAAGGCTTCTCATTTATTAAACTACCTAGAACTTCTAATACTGACCACAAATAATAAGGGTAGTCATCCTTAAAGTGTTCTGTAAAACAGGAAACATCCCATTTCTTATGTAGGTTATTCGTAAGATACTATTTAAAGAGGAAGAGAAAATTCTCTTCTAGTTTGCTGTAAATTTTAATAATGAATAGGTATTTAATTTTCTCAAACACACTTCTGCATATATTGGGATCTTTTTATTTTGCTAATATTGTGAATTACATTGAGTGGTTTTCATATATTATAATGATATTTAATTCCTAGGACAACACTCACTTGGTTATAATATACAATACTTTTTTATAAACTGTTGCATTTAGGTTACTAAGATTGCTAAGAAATTTTGTGCCTACATTAAGGGTAAGTTTTATTTATCTTTAATTTCTTGGCAAGGCTTCAGTGTTTTCATAACATATTTTTACAAAATTTACTTTCAACTTTCCTAGATCCCTTAATTCAGAGTTATTTTCCAGAAGGTAACATACAGTGTTTTTTTGTTTATTTGATTTTTTTTTTATCAACTGCTAACAAATCCCTGACATTTAACAGTCCGTATAATTTATTATTAATCTAATTATAGACAGGGTTGAACTTAATTATCGTGTTAAAACTGTATTTGTTCCATCTATTCTGTTTCTTTTTTCTTCTATTCTTGTCATCTTTTGGATTTTTAAAAAAAGATTTGTTTATTGGAAAGGGAGACAAGATTTTGGAGAGAAGGAGAAATTGAAAGATCTGCTGGTTCACTCCCAAAAATGGCAACAATGAACAGAGCTGCGCTAATCTGAAGCCAGGAGCCAGGCACCTTCTCTGGGTCTCCCACGCAGGTGCAGGGTCTCAAGGCTTTGGGCCATTCTCTACAGTTTTCCCAGGCCATAAGCAGGGAGCTGGATGAAAATAAAGCAGCTGTGACATGAAGCAGCGTCCATATGGGATCCTGCTGCTAGCTAGGTGAGGATTTAGCCATTGAACTATCATGCCAGGTTCTGGATTTTTTTTTTTAGAACTATTCAATTTACTTCCACAATTGACTTATACATTCTAGTTCTTGTTTCCTAGTGGTTGTTATAGGGATCACATCTTTAACATCACAGCCTGCTCGTAAATAATATATTAGCTCATGCATAGTGTTAAATGTATGCAACAATCAACTTACATTTCCTCCCTGTGTTCCTCAAGCTATTTTTATCTTGAGTTATATTTCTGAATTTTATATATACATATATATATACACATGTGTGGATATATACAATATATGCATATATAATGAATGTGTAATATACATTTGTATAACAAATATTATACACCAAATTATATACATGTATACGTGTATATTTTTAATTTATATCTTTCATATTTAAAATATATAATAATATATAATAAGTACATTATATTTATATATATTTTGTGGCTAGATATACGTTTAGATGATTACCTTTTAAGGTGATTAAGAAGAACAAGCATTATTTACCCTTATACTCTATTTTTATCAGTATTCTGTTTATTTATGTGTAAAACCATGTTCTCATTAGGAATTATATTTTTTCAGACTGAAATTTTTCCTTTAAACGGTTTCATGTTAAATTCTTACTTATGTATATTCATCTGAATTGAAACGAAGAGAATAGAATTTTACATCTGCAAGTTCACTCTCCACATGACCGCAGCATCAGGCCTGGGCCATCCCTGGAGCCTGGTTCTCCATCTGGGCCTCCAGCAAGGGTGTCATACACTCCACACGTCCCTGCTTCTCAGAAAGCCTTAGACAGAGGCTGTGGCCCAAGACCCCGAGACCTGAGCCAGGCACTCCAACACAGCATGTGAAAGTCCCAAGCTAGAGGCTAACTGCTGTGTCTAATCTCAACCCTAACGTTGTACTTCTTTGTCTAAGAAAGTTCTCTGTACTCAATTTATGAGAGATATCTCCTAGGTTGACAGTGTTTATTCTTTTCAATTTTCATTTTTGTTCCTCTTTCTGTTTCTCTCTCCCTTCCTCTCCCTGTAACTCTGTCCATAAAATACAAAAAAAAAATAAATCTTAAAAAAAAACAAAAAAGAAACAGAAATGTTTCTTTTTCCCCACTGGGAAGTATTTTCCTCTACAACTGAGTTTTAGAAACTTGAAGATGATGTTCCCAGATGTTCCATGTGCGTGCTGGGGACGGGGGTGGAACTTTATGCTGCTCCAGATTTTCGACGACGCTCGAATCTACACTTTGTTATCAATAATTTTACAAAATTCTAGACCACTGCCTGTAAATATTTCTTCTGCTTCAATCTTTTTTAAAGACTTTATTTATTTTTATTGGAAAAGCAGATATACAGAGAAAAGGAGAGACAGAGAGGAAGATCATCCATCTGCTGATTCACTCCCCAAGCGGCAGCAATGGCCGGAGCTGTGCCGATCCAAAGCCAGGAGCCCAGAGCCTCCTCTGGGCCTTCCATGTGGGTGCAAGGTTCCAAGGCTTTGGGCCATCCTTGACTGCCCACCCCCCACCCACCCACCCCAGGCCACAAGCAGGGAGCAGGATGGGAAGCAAGGCTGCCAGGGTTAGAACCGGCACCCATATGGGAACCCTGCATGTGCAAGACAAGGACTTTGGCCAATAGCCCACCGCACCAAGCCCATTTTCTGCTTCTATTTTTAAAATTATTTATTTAGCTTTTCTAAAAAAGTTAGAGAGAGAGAGAGACTGAGAAATCTTCTACCAGCTGCTTTATTCCCTAAATGGCCTCAACAGCCAGCTCTGAGTCAGGCATACGTTCAGGTCTCCCATGCATGTGGCAAAGGCCCAGGTACTTGGGCAATCATTCACTACTTTTCCAAGGCCATTAGCATGGAGCTGGATCAAAAGTAGAACAGCAAGAAAATGAACCAGCACCCTTACAGGGTGACTGAGAATCTTGAAAACTATTCCAGCTACTGGCCTTGAAACGCAGCAGGTAAAGCTGTTCTCTGTGATGCCAGCATCTCATCTGGGTGCTACTTCATGTCCTGGCTCCTCCAATTCCCATTCAGCTCCCTGCTAAGGATCTGGGAAAGCAGTAGGATGGCCCAAGTGTTGGGCCCCTGCAACACATGGGAGAGACCTGAATTAAGTTCCTGGCTTCAGCCAGGCTCACCACTGGCTGCTGATGCTAACAAGGGAATGAATCAGAAGATGGAAGGTTCCCCTGCCTCTCACTGTCTTTCCCCTCTACCCACTGCAACTCTAATTTCCAAATAAATATATAAATCAATTTTTTTAATTCCATATAACTCCTCGAAACAAACCACAAAGCGTACCAAATACTAAAGACGTCAATTAAGTATAGATAAAACAAGGAAGAAACAGTAGCCTCAGAAGACACTTAAACCATACCTCTAATCTCCCCAGGATTTGGGGCAACAATTATTTGAAAGAGTCTCTTCTCACCTAACACTTTCATTACGAGCTAATCACTTTGCTGCTATTTTTTCCTAACTTTCTTAATGAACCAATGAACTCCACAAATAATATTCTATTAATCCCTCTAATTCTCAGGACCTAGCACATTGCCTGGCACATGGAGTACCTTTAATGAATATGTATGAGTGTAGAAAGAATTAAGTATAACTGATAATAGTGCTGCCTGGTTCTTTCTTCTACCTTTCCGGTGTTGGCTATAACCTGCTCCCCAATTCCCTGTGTAAAAGTGGATCTACAGACTCATGCATCCCTGTCTACCTAGCTGCTAAGCAGTCTCCCTGAACTATCTAATGACACTGCTAACAGTCCGATCTGCTTGATCGGATGATAACATATTATCACGCGGATAATAACAGGGTTAGGCTGAGGTGGCTCTGGCCATGTTATTTGTTTGGATGACTGCTGGGTGGCCGATCCTGGTAGTCAGGTAAATCTCCTCTTATTGCCTAGGGGACTATTGATTCTGTATGAATCAGGTTACATTTTCTTCCCAATTGGTCATTATGTAGCTAGAGACTGACACGATTCAGTTGTGAATTTCCTTGAGTCATGATCCACAACACACACTTCCACACACAGTGATATCTATTTTTATTATTTACTTAAGTGCTGTGATCAACTTTCCACCACAACATATAAAGATTTTATTGAAAGCAGAAAATTTGTTTTCTTTGTTTCAAAATCCCTAACAAATATGCCCAGAAGACATACACAATATTCACTAAATGAGATAATGTTTTAACTGTTTGTTAAATCAACCTACATTTATACTTTATTTTCCTTTTCCTTTTCCCAATGGTGCATTTCAATTTTTTCATGTATGTCTACGGTCTAATTAGGAAAAACTTTAATGGACGTCTTGAAGAATTACACCCAATAATCTCCTTAAATCATGCTGACTGTTCAAAATTCTAAGGAAAATTAATTAAAAGATTCTCATGCAGTTTTCATGATGCAGGTAAAGATCCCCTCATACATTAATCTACTTTCATAGAATTACAAAAAAAAAAAAAAAAAAGAAAAAAGAAAAGAAAAAAGAAACTTACCCAGCTTTAGCAACACTTATGGTTTGTTGCTCCATTGCTTCATGGATACTGGTTCTGTCATGTCCTTTGAGACTATTAAATTCATCGATGCAGCAAAGGCCAGCATCGGCCAGCACTAGCGCACCTGCCTCCAAATTCCACTCCCCAGAGTCTTTCACAGCGGTTACAGTCAGACCTGAGGAAATAAGCAAGTTCCGTCAGCTTTTATTCCCAAACAATATCTAATATCTGTGAAAAAAAAATACCTTTAAAGAGAAAGGCAGAGAGTCAAGGGATTTTACCTTCAGTCTACCAAGAATAGCGGACATCAGTGCAATTATTTCATGTGTTTACTCCTAGATGGCTTTAAACATTAAGCTCTGAAAATCTAAGACACATGTCATATTAAAGAGTTATTTATTTTTATTGGAAAGCCAGGTTTACAGAGAGAAGAGGAGGCAGAGAAAAAGATCTTCCATTTACTGGTTCACTCCCCAAGTGGCCATAACAGCCAGAGCTGAACAAATCTGAAGCCAGGAGCCTCCACTGGGTATCCCACGCAGGTACAGGGTCCCAAAGCTTTGAGTTGTCCTCTACTGCCTTCCTAGGCCTCAGCAGGGAGCTGGGAGAGAAGTGGAGAAGTTGGGACACAAACTGGCACCCATATGGGATCTTGATACATGCAAGGTGAGGATTTAGCCACTAGGCTATTGTACCTGGCCCTACTAAATGTATTCTTAACATATATTATAGCAATCACATGTTATGCATTATTATGCATTTATTCAAAAAGGCTGAAAACTTGTATCTGCCCCAAAACTTGCTCACAGATATTTATAGGAACTTTATTCATAATCACCACCAGCAATCAACTTGTCTTTCAGTAGGCTAATATAATTACTTTATAATACATTACACTAAATTGTAATAGATAATAGATGCTAAAAAGAGGTGATTGGTCCATGGAAACATATGAAGCAATCTTGAAGGCATTACTAAGTAAAAGGAGTCAATTTGAAAAGACTGCATACTTTTGATTCTAACTATATTACATTCCTGAAAAGGCAGAAGTATGGAAATAACTAAATGATCAAGGTTTGTGGGAATCTGGGGCAAGGGCACCAGGCAGAGCGCAGAAGTCCTGGGGCTATGTTATAAAACACTGCAAAGGCAGATAACACCCCGGATTTGTGATGGCCCACAGAATGCATAACACCAAGAGTGAACCCAAATGCAAATTACAGACTTTAAAAATGAGGCATCAACACAGCTCATCAATCACAACAAACGTACACTCCATAGCAACTGCTTGGCTCAAGTGTCAGCTATTTTGTTTCTGGTCCAATATCCTACTAATACATAATCTGGGAAGGCAGCAGATGATGGCTCAGATACTATTTGAGTCCCTGACAACGTTGAGGGAGACCGGATGGAGTGCCAGGCTGGTGGCTTTGAGCCCCGGGTGCTGCAGGCATCTAGGGAATGAACCAGCATCTGGAAGCTCTCTCTGTGTCTGTTCATTCCTTATCCTTTGCCTTTCAAACAAATAGATACTATTCTTAAAATTAAGAATGTTTATTCATCCAAGGACAATATTAAGGAAATATGAAAGACAAGTAATAGACTGGGGTAAAATATTTGTAAATGCTCTCCCTGACAAAGAAATCGTAGAGAGAGTTGAGAAAGAATTCACAAAACTTAATCAAATAGGGCCTGGCGCGATGGCGCAGTGGTTAAGGTCCTCGCCTTGCATGCCCGGGATCCCATATGGGCGCTGGTTCTAATCCCGGCAGCCCTGCTTCCCTTCCAGCTCCCTGCCTGTGGCCCAGGAAAGCAGTTGAGGACGGCCCAAAGCTTTGGGACCCTGCACCCGCGTGGGAGACCCAGAAGAGGCTCCTGGCTTCGGATTGGCTCAGCTCCAGCCGTTATAGCTGCCTGGGGAGTGAGGCCGCTTGGGGAGTGAATCATCAGACAGAAGATCTTCCTCTCTCTCTCTCCTCTCTGGATACCTGCCTTTCCAATAAAAGTAATTAAATCTTTAAAAAAAAAAAAACTTAATCAAATAAAAATTCCAATGAACAATAAAGGCAGGGGAGATTTGAAAAGTATTTCCTCTAAAAAATTCTATTCCTGCTCCTGGAGTCAAGGCAGGCCATTACCAATATAATATTTTCTAAGTGATGTTATATGATTTTTCAAGGTTTGATCATAAAAATGCCATGCATTTCTGTGCTGTTTGCTGGGGATCCAGATCTTGAAACACAGTCATTGTTTAGAAACAACTGGCAGAGGCTGGGAGTTACAGGCCTGGGGTGGCTCCCCACCAAAGCTCCCACCAAAGTGCCAACAATGTGAACCTCCCTAGAAGAGGATGGTCCAGTTTCCAGTAGTGCTGCCACTGCTAACGCACACGCAACAGAGAAAGCCCTGCTCTAGCCGAGTCCTGAAAACAGAGTAAACCTGTTTACTCAACCATAAACCTGAAAACAGAGCAATTACTATCTTTTGTTACTCAGCACTAAATAGCATCACTGAAATCAGACAGCTGGACAACCTGAAAGAAAAAGCATGAAGAGATTTAAACAAGAATTTCACCAAAGCGAACATTGTAAACCAATGACATGTAAAGAAATGCTCAACTTCCTAAGTAATGAGGGAAATCCAAAACAAAGCCTGCACATCCTTAAGTTTGGTTAATATTTAGGCGCTGGCATTACAAGTATTAACAAGGCTGTGGAGAAAACCCAACTCTTATGCACTGTTAATGGGAGTGGTAGCCTGCACAGCACTTGGGAATTTGACAACATCCCCAAAAGTTATAGTTACATGCATCGGTACAAGGACCTGTGAACATCTAGGAAATGGATTAACACAAGAACGCTCATAACAAAATCCTTCATAATAGTTAAATCTGCAAATAACTGAAAAACCCATCAATAGTAGAAAGAACAAAAGTATAACAATGAATAATGAAGTACAGTTAAGTACACCATGAAGCAATATAAAGTAAAATGTATCTATAGAAAACTCAATAATCTCATTAGAGGTTTTTTTTTTTAAGCAAACCAAATTAGTGCTAACAGATACAGCCTCCAGGAGTCACTTGGGCAGCTTTCAACATGAAATGAAAGGCCGCTAAGCAACTCACACCCAGGTGAAAAAACAACAAGCACCAATAAACACAACTATCCGTGTCACACACAAGACAGATGAAAGCAATTTTGCTTGCAGTACTTTTCTTCCATTATCTAAGTGAAAAGAATACTGGAGAAAACAAAAACCATTAAATTATTTTATGGGTTAATAATGTATAGAGAGATAATTTGCAAAATAATGAGACAAAGGAGGATGGAAGACTCCTATACCATAACTAAGTTTTTTTATGTGGGCATTAATCTGAATAAGGTTGTATTAAACTGATACTGATAATATCCCTTCTCAAGGCAGCCACTAAGGCAATAACTAAAAGTATACAACAGAAGAACAAAAGGGAGACCAGCATGGTGACGCACAGGCCAATCCTCCACCTTCAGCCATATGGTCACCAGTTCTGGTCCCGGCTGTTCTACTTCCGATCTAGCTCAATGAATATGACCTGGGAAAGCAACAAACAATGGCTCAAGACCTTGGGCCCCTGTATCCATGTGGGAGACCCAAAAAAGGTTCCTGGCTTCTGGCTTCAGATTGGCTCAGTTCTGGCCATTGCGGCCATTTGGAGAGTAGACCAGAGAAGGGATCTGTCTGTGTCTGTCTGTCTCTCTTTCTCTAACTCCACACCTCTCAAATAAAAATAAATAAATCTTTGTAAAAAAAAAAAAAGAGGGGCTGCAGAAGATTAAACTGCTGCTCACAGCACCAAAATCTCAGAATGGAATATGAGTTTCAGTAGCAGCTCCTGGGCTCTTGGTTCAGTTCTCTGCTAACACACCTCGGAAGCAGCAGTAGCAATGCGAGCACTTCAGTCCCAGCCACCCCCATGGGAGACCCGGAGGAGTTCGGCGTCCCTGGCTTTGGCCTGATCTATGCACTGCTACTGCAGACATTTGTGGAATAATCCAGCGAATTCAGTACATCACTGTCACTCTGCTTTTCAAACAAATGCTTAAGAAATAGTTAAGTAAAAAAAGAAACAAATAAACACTTAAGAAATAAGGAATTAAAGTGAACATAAACATACAATACAAAAGAAGGTAGTAACGGAGGAAGACAGGAAAACATAGAAATATGATATACAGAAAATAAAGAGGAAAATGACATACACAAATCTTATGAAGATAAAAATAAATGCTTTGCTCAACAGGTAAAGAAGGTAAAATGGATTTCAAAAAGTGACACAATTATAGACTGTTGGTAAGAGAAACACTTTAGATTCAAAGGAGTAAGTTGAAAGGATGAAAAAAGATACTTCGGTGACACAAAAACCATAAGAATCTGCTGATATAGATAATAAGCCTGATTATAGTCTTAAGATCAATAACGTAAGAACAGCCACAAGGAAGAACCAGTTTCTGCACTAATTAGCATCTAGAGCAATGTTGCAGAGAAACTGGGAAGATGAATCCCAGTTTGTGTCCACACTGAAGGAAAATTTACAAGACCAGATGCAACAAAGAGCACAGCTTTCACTTACTAGGAAATGTAAAAGCTGCGAGCAAGTGGCTGGTAGAGGAAGCAAGCTGCTCAGGCCTCCCAGCAGGGGTCTGCGGAGGTCTGGAACACACCATGTTCAAAGAGCAATCATACTGCTTATACATAAGCTACTGTCAAAGCAGGAGCAGTTCTGGATGGAATTTTTTCTTACTTCTATGCCAAAATGTTATAATCCATTTGCCAATATTACTACAACTGGACTTGTACCCTGTTTTTGTTCAGTGTGTATGTGCTGTCAGGGAGCTGTGAATTTAATCTGATCCAACAACAAATAAATAAATGAATAGATATAGATGGAGGAAAAAAAATGTGGAAATAATAGTCTTACCCACTTTCCTGTAGCCCTTAAACCTTTGTGCCCTAATTAACCATGTAAAAGATTGTCAAAAATAAAGAAAAAAAAAAAAGACTCAGATGGTAATTCAAATGAAGAGACACAAATAGAGAACTAGAAACAGTAACCTAAGAAAGTTAATATAACAAGCTCTCTAAATAAAAAGTTGTGTGTGTGTGTGTCTGTTTATTTATTTATTTTTTATTGGAAAG